ATGATGAATGAACGATCTCGCAATCGAACTAAAACATTTTTACCGTTTAGAGTAATTTTGTTAACAGTTATGAAATTTTGACATTAAATAGGTTACTTGTGGGAGATGTGTCAATGTGGGGGCGATTATGGAGTCTCAGGCGGAGACAGGTTCTCTTTGCATAACTGAGGCTGTATAATGCGCGGATGACTGCTTTTCTTATAACGCTATAAATATAAGAACCGCACCGTGTCTGGGCCACACAGATTACTGGCTTAATAAAGTAAAAATAGGTGTGCCATGATTCCTATTATGGTAGTCTACCCGCAATAAGCGGCACCTTCCACGGTATGAACTTTAGTGAACTGTAAGTGTTTAAATGACATTGCTTATTGTAACCGATTTATGTATACAAACATTTAAAATGTGTTTAAAATGATATTAGATGGGAATAGATAACTAGTTATTGTCGCTATTTTCATGGTAATACTCGTAACCACATGGGAGTAATGAGCCTCGGAACATAAATGTATGCAGATGTGCCCTAAAACTCAGCTTTAGGATTTAAGTGACGCAGAATTTTATAAGTTACCGTTTTCTTTGATATTCTCATTAGGGTTGGAACACGTCATTGTTTAATCATATTAATGAGCGAGGTAGTTCATGCTCATTTGCACAGTACTTTTGTTCAGTGGTGCGATGCGAATGTGTGTGTTGAACCTTTTCATCGTTCTTTTCAAGCTGCGAGGGATTTAAAACCACGATTAATTTCTGTTTAGAATGTGTTTGCACTTCGAATGTATAATACGACTCAACTTTAGGATGATATGGGTGTGACTACGAGTATAAAAATAAATATTACAAAATGTAAAGATTTTTTTTTATTTTTTTACTAAACGTGCGTTGGAAATTTTTGTATTTTTGACACGCTTTTATTAGCTTATTATGTATGTAAACTTCAAAACTTTGAATTCAATTGAAACTTTGCACACTTATTAAGGACCGATGACAATTCAATAATTTACATAGTTTGTCAAATTATCCTGATCCGGACCTTCAAGATTAACTGCTTTTTCCACACCTAAAAATACGGTAGTGTCTTGAAGCATATGTGGTAAACTTACTTGTTACTTTATAGTTGAAATAAGATAATAATCATCATTAATGACTAAAAACTACAAAATACACAGTACACTACACAACTAAAAAATACATAAAATATACATACAAATACATATATTTATGAATAAACTAATTTATAAATTTATTAATACAAACATATAATAGATAAATTTAACAAATGATCGTACTCATCACACAATATTTGTCCCGGGTCGATTCTTCGACCTCTGACTTAGCAGCCAGGATTTCTAACCATAGACCAACATACCTTCATATTTCTGTCATTCCTATTATAATATAACATGTAACTTTCCTCTAATTTGGACTCTCTTTACACTAATGGGAAAGTCCATTATTCTAATGTCGCTGCAAACCATAGCATAACTTACCTACACGCTGACTACTATTCAATATGACAGGTCACTGTATATGTCAAGTCCTTACTCGGATTGATGGAGTTTATCGACCAATGTTTTAAATAGAGTATGCTCCAGACTGGCTTATGTAATGTAACAATATATTAAACACATTAAGATTTATCCATAAGTGTAAATGTTTTTTAGTTTTTGAAAGGTGTTAAGGAATACCTAAACTGTGTGTTTATTTTTCATGATTATAAATAAGTAACTTAAAACGCTTTAGGCTACTAAATCCTTGTTTTTTCCGGTCACCATATTTCAATTTACGACTTTAACACCACTGATTAAAAAAGAAGTGGTTAAAAATTTCCCTTGTTACCAAATAAAATAATCACATCACCAGCGCGGCGTCTACAGGACTGGTACTGATTACATTTAACAAGTTGCACGAATATGTGAAAACGAAATGTAAACTACACATATTCCAAGTTTTGATGTTTTTCGAGTACTTTTCGTAAAGCATAATCTCATTATTTTTACAGATTCTAGCGCGTATATCACATTCACGGGTTGTTTTTTCTTTCGAGTGTTCTATAAATTTCGGTATTTATTTACGCTTTGCAATCTCAAATGTAACAGTTTTAGTTTTTCTTAAAATAAATTAACAAGAAAGCTAATAATAATAACGAGAAAGCTAAGAAATGACTTCGCATTACGTATGTTCTACCAAGAATTCTCATTTGAATAATAACAGTTCTTGTTTATCTGTAGGTATATCTTCGGGAGTATGGGTAAAAACGTGTGACAAGATTTATATCACGATACTACTGTAGATTGAATGGAAAATGTAGATTAGAGATGCTGCATATATCGCATTAAATATCCGGTAACTCGAATATTCGGCAACACTGCCATATTTATTTTTTAAGTATTTGCTATTGTATTTATTTATGTCTAAATAAAAACCAACTCCATCACCTTAAAATATTTGCATCTCAAAGTTTATAAACATAAGTACTGTTAGCTCATACATATATATATAACTTTATAAAATAAACAAACCAACTTATCCGGGCTAGAATCAAATGATATATTTTATGTGGACCAATAAACAAAAATAAGATATCACAGCCAAGGTCTATCAGGGTCGTGAGAAACTATGCGGTTAGAGTTTGCTCTGTGCGCTCAACACACCGTCGCAGTATTCTAAATACGTATATATTTTAATCTTATCGCTTCTGAGATTTACAATATTTTTTATAATGGAATAGGCGATTGTCTTTCAAGTCACCAAGATGAAAAGTGAAGCTGAAGGATCTTTGCTCAGACTACGCAACTTTCTACCTATTCCAAATTACCTATACCTGTCCAAGCGGTTCGGTTGTGGAACGCACTAACGGTCCCAATCATACGTGCACAAACACTTGGTGATTTCAAGAAGCAAGTGACAAAATATTACCTGGGAGACTTCAATGTCCCATAACTTTTTAACTTTCTACTAAATCAATAAGGTTTCATATATTATATATATGTATTTAGTACTTATAAATCATATGTATTTATTTAATTATATGTATCTAATAACACCACTAAATTTGTTCAGCACATAGTACGAGTATATTCTTTAGTACGTTTCGTACACCAAAGTCCTACAAAATAGATACTATGTGTAATCATTACTTTCTTTTATATTTAAGATTTCCTCTTCTTATCTATTCCTTAACACACCAGCCACTACCCTATACCTCTTCCCCTTCATGTTTTCTCTCCATACCACGGTTGCCTGTAAGAGATTGCATCTGAGCTATAAGGCCGCTACTTGTACTTGTCTAACCTAGTTTAAATTAGTTATTGTATGTTTTTACCTGGTGTACATTAATTACATATATACATACATTATTAATAACAAAGGCAGTCCATTAGAGACTTTGCCATTTCTATTCGCTCATTCAGATTATAGCAAATCCTATAAAAAACCGCTAAACAGGCGAATTTATGAAGATGCTCAGTGTGTAGTTCCCTATCATTTAGCACATTGTCCTTTATAAGCTTACTAGCTTTTCCCGCGTGTATGTCGGTTACAGCCTATGTCTTTCCTCAAGAATCAAACTATCTCCACACCAAATTTCATCTAAATCGGTTCAGCGATTATTGATTCCCCATACAAACTTCCACCCGGGTTTTCACCCCCTTAAAGGATGATTACTGGGATAAAAACTATCCTATGTCCTTTCCCGGGACTCAAACTATCTCTAACCAAATTTCATCTTAATCGCTTTAGCGGTTTTAGCGTGAAGAGGTAGCATACAGACCGACAGACACACACAAGTATGGAATAGTGTGGATGGGCTGCGCTATTTACAATGAAGAGTGCTTCAACTTGGTATTTAGCTAAACATTCCCAGAGGTGTTTACAGTACTCCATGCAAGATCGTACTTAGATTGTATAGAGACTAGTCAGCTGTTTAATGTAGAAAACTGTATTGAGTTGATGACTGCCGAAATAATACGTACGTACACATTTTTTATATCTAAATTATGCAGCAATGTTGCACATTAGTCTGAACATATAACGACGTGGTCGAATGAATTGTATAATCCCCTGATTGTTGGCTGAAAGGGCGTCAACACACTTATGAATCTTGAGTTGCAGGTGCGATCTTATTATAGAACGCGTTGTAAGTTTTACTCAGTTGAAAATTAGTTTCAAGTATTGATTTGAAAATACAGTCTGTTCTTAATTAGGTTTTCGCATGAATTACGTTATTATTCCGTATACACAGCTAATTATCTAAAAAAATATTTTTTTATTTACAAACATAATTTCTGTGGCTAGTGTAGCAATGTTAACAAGCTTTTTGTTTGTCCATGATTAAATATAAAAAATATTAAAATAAAAATGACTAGATATAGGCTATAACGGAACGTTCAAGTTATTAATCAACACTTGTCATGTTGATCTGTCCAACAAAGTTTATTTTTCAAATTTTATATTACTAGAATGATATCATACTTTAACATAAACCAAAAGGTTTTGGTGATTTTAATTTAAACAAGTATTGTGTTTGTATTATGTGAATTTTAGTGAATTTAATATCAATTAAGGTAAATTAAAGTGAATTGATTATAGTATGACAAGTAATTCTTTCGTAAATAAAGTAATGTAAATTATTCATAAACAAATCATTGTAAAACACATTTATTTCCCTAGAAATCACCGAGACTAGTTTTAGCTTGTCTCACGTAAACAAAGATCACAGCTGTCAAAATCTATACCTGAGTAAAGATTTCGACATAAATATCGTTCTAAAATAAGCTATCACTCACTTAAGTATGGATCGGTAAATCTCGTTTTAAGTGACGTTCAATAATAAAATCTCTACTTAAAATTAATTTCAAGACTAGATCCACCTTTTAAAATACGGGCCTTAGAGAAACTCTTACATACTCCGAGAATGATCGTCACTAAAATTACTATGTAGGGCACCTCAAACTGAGGCGTACAAGTTTATGTAATAGTAAATGTATCTTTGTTGACAGATGGTAGGCAACGTGGTTGTATTTGTGTGCGTAAATGTGGTTGGCGCATTGATGCACTCGCTGATGGAGACCGCGCAGAGGCGAGCCTTTCTCGACACCAGGAACTGTATTGCTGCTAGGCTGGACATGGAAGACGAAAACGAAAAACTGGTAAGTTTAACCAATTCGAATCATTTTATGAAATAGGTTATACTATTTTGAACATAAATTTTTGAGTGATTGGACGTTATCTATCGTTTCGAATGTCGGAATTACGACTAACAAACATGAAACAAGATGATTCAAACTTATGACCTCATGCGAACAATTTAAAACAAACCAACAGGCTTAAACGTCGGGTTTATGTCAACGTCGTGTAATAAACATGTAGAGATTGGATAGGTTAGTAGTAAATTGTGGGTTTTCCTGAACGCTGTAGAACGTAACTAATAACATGGAGGTTACAACACTTTCTCTTATTTATACCTATTAATGACACGTTTAGTTAATCTTAAAGTATTGACTGAACAGTTTTCTAATAATAAAAAGACGCATAAGAAACGTATTTGTTAACTTATTATTATTTATAAAAATATACAGATCCGAGTAATATTATGGTAAGGTATTCTAAGTTGGTTTCTATTTCATTAAAAACCAATCGTATCTTCACAAGAAAACCTATTTATTATTATGATAAAAGCTTTTGTAAATGACATTCTAAAATATTTAATGTACACAATCATTATTCATGTAAGATCCCTTTTAATGTTGTCAAATATACTATCAATTTCCAAGGCATGTTCTTGTAGAACAGAATGTTCTCGTCTTGTAGACAAAATGTGATAAATAGCTGTGGGTTACACACGGTACCACAGCAATTGTACTTATTCTGTTAATTAGTGCAAGAAGTTCGCAAAGAATTAAGAGCTAGAATTTGAGAATTTTTATGTGGTAACCCTTCTTTCAAAAATGCATTACCAGCTTATTTCACTCAGGCTTGTTTGATACAAAAAGGACATATAAATGGAAGAAAATATATTTCCTACGGGGTCATCTAAATTACTGCAACAAATTAATTATACTAAAGGATTCGGTGTTCTATTTAGTTTTAAGAGTTTCATTACTTTAATGTAATTGGTACATGTAGAAGTATACTGGGTACTAGGCTTGAAGGCTTGCTATTTTCTAGCAAAAATTATGTAGCGACTTACGCCATTTCGTCTGAGGATATAGGCTGGCATTGTAGTCTCCATCTCGAGGGCTTCGCTTATAGCGCTTCGAAAGGTTATAGTGCTAAGCTGGCAAGAAAAAGCACAAACGTAACACTTTAAAGTATATTGTAAAGCAAATGAAAAATAATGAATTACAAATGTAAAATAATGAATTATCTTCAGATGGGAATGTGATGATGATGGGATAAACTTACATAGAAAATCCGTTTTGGAATAATCCACTATCCCCCACCACGAGCTAAGCTGCAAAACTAATAATTACCTGATTTTTTTTAAGATACTGTTACATAACAATGTCTATTTAAGAAATTAAAGAAAATTTCTATAAATCTCACTTGCTTCACTGCTGTGGCCCATTGCCACCAGCAAAAAACTTCGCAACTTCTGTTCCAAAACTTTTGTAGTTCTTATTTCGTAATACAAGTTCGAAAACGAGCACTGACAGATTTAACTTTTAAAGTCTCATCTCCCGCATTGGAACTCGGATTTCACAAAGAAGTATATTAACTTGTAGATATAGGCATGACTAAACTTTTTGGCTTTCTTTTATTTCGGTCCATATTAAAAACCTTATAATAATAAGTTTCCTTTCCAAGATTTAAGTATGTTATTGGGGATTTATAAAATGACTCATTCAAATGCATCACTTTTAATATGTTTAACCAAGAATTACATGATTCACAGTAAACTACGTGTTTACATGTACATGTTACGTATTAAGAGTAGGTAATCCATAACTTAATACGCTCAGAGTAATTCATTTAACCACAGTAAGGTTTTATGAACAAAATTATATTAGAAAAATAGTTAATATTACTAAAAAAAAGTCACAATAATTATACGTCCTAGAGCAACACAGCGCCAGCGTTAGAATTCACACAATATATTTACATATTTGAGTGTATGCCGCCTGTACATTCTTATAGAAAACATTTTCTTTTGTGCTTGACCTTGTAGCAACCATTGATAGATAAAATGTGATATCCTTAAGAAGTAAGACTCAAGGATTCGAAAAGAAAAAAAGAAGAGACAAAGTTTTCAAGTAAAGCATTCATCGATGTCGGACCTGTAAAACTTTTTAGCTAACTTTCCCCATTAACAATATGAGCACTGTCCGTGGAACCATTGTATTTGCTTTTTTTACGCATTCTTATCAGATCTTTCAAAAAATATAAATGCTCAAAATAGATATATTTACAGATGAATGGTAAACAAATTTTTTATAAAGAATAACATGACATATGCATAACAGCATGTTCTTATTTAGATAAATAGTTAAGTATTAATGAAGTACCGTATCCAAAGAAGAGCGGCTCAAATAGTCGATAGCCAAGTGATCTCCGACCGGGTCGATCCCTTGGCATTGCGTAGAGATGTAGCTTAACTCTGCATTCTCAATCGTATATACCATGGAAAATGCTCCGAGGAATTGTTCAGACTAATACTGGCCGCAACTTTCCACCATCGTTCCACACGACAACATTTTCATCCCCACCACTTAGATAATTGGCACTCTGCGACAACAACCAATCTGTGGAACAAGTTATCGTTGGCGATATTTCCGGACCGATAGAACCTTCAAACCTTCAAAAAAAGAGCGTAATCCTTCCTCAAAGGCCGGTAACGCGCTTGTGACTCCTGAGTTACAAGCGTTCATGGGCGGCGGTAGTCGTTTTTCATCAGGCGACCAGTCTGCTCGTTTGCCCTTTCTTAAATTAAAAAAAAACAAAATAACGAATTTTGTACTGAAAGACAGTAGTAAATATTTTGTATAATTATTTCAATATTGTTTTTTTTCTTTTGCTGTAGAACATATAAAAGACTTGAGAAGAGAAACATATTGCATTTAAATTCAAAGAAAGAAATGCGATTTTAACCGTTACCATCAATTCCGTTAGACATCGTATGGAACAAGCCTGGTGAAAACTTTACTGCTGGAAACAGCTGTTCATTCAACTGTTTTCCTTAAAGTTCTGTATACATTTCTGAAGTTTTATAGGTAACACACTGGTCTCTCGGATGAAACTTGACTTTGTCTCAATGAAGATTAATCAAAGTACCTACTTGTGAAATGCTTTTCCATATTTAGAAAAAGATGAAAGTTACCAAAAAATCGAATAAGAGAAGTACGTTCGTAGAAATGCGTTGTTTAAAGGCTAATGGATATGAATATTTTAATGAATATTTTACTACCAGTCGATTGGTTTTCCGTGTTTATGCGAAACCCATTCTTTCAATCTCGAAACCTGCACATTTACAGTTACTCATAGTATCACGGTGAACCTTCACAATCAATTATGATTCTAAGTTCGTTTTACTCTAACTTGTTTACCAACACAGAAGAAGAAACAAATAACGAATTTTACTCACACGTAAAATTTTCATATCCGATGCTGGGGTGCATAAAATATTTCCAAAGAGTTCATCGATTCCCGTTCCCAAAATTTCTATATCATTTCCATTCAAATGGCAAAGTGCATCAACAGTAATGGCCAATATGGTTGTATTTATTTCACCAATCGAAATCAGGATGTCCATTAACCGATTCAGTTTCAGACTGAAAGTTCACAGGGAGTTTTTGACGGAGTCATCTATATAATATTTTATGAGTGTTTTAATTAATTATTATATACTAGCTGTGCCCGCTACTTCGTACGCTGTTCTGTACCGCTTCAAAATAGTTACTTTAAGCCGTGTCCCGTTGCATAGTTTGGCAGACTTAAGTTACGCTGTATGATAATAAGCACACCAACTTTTAGATTTAATACATGGAAAGGAAGCCCCGACGTAGGTAAAGAATTTAAAAAGCCAACTAATATTGCAGACAATATTGTTGCTCTCTGTACGATTTAAAATGGCGTTGTTTATAATAAAGCTTTAAAAATTGCGGGTAGTCAGTATAACACGCTTACAGAATAAAGAGTTATCCAAATTTTACACTCTTTGTAGTTCACTGTATACTGATAATGTTAGTTCTTAGGATAAGAAATCATATGACATAAGCGAGATGTAAGTTTAATCTTCTTTTGGAAACGTATCATTACCGATTTCGAGTAACACATGCATCAATAATATTGCCCTCCATACGTGCCCGCAAATTAATTGTTAAATGCGATCACGTAATAGACCAGAGTCTTGAACGTTTAAGGCATGTTTTTCTTTATTACCTCATCCGATCTTATGCCTCGCGAGGCTATAGATAATGATTGCCTTAAACCTCCACAAAATAAAATTCTGATACCTCTCATCCCACTCGAGTCTTAATGGATGTCTCCATCATCATCGCAGCCGAAGACGTGCACTCAACCGGTAGTGTGCTGCACGTATCCAACGGCTCGCCGCCAGGTCGTCGGACCACCTTGCGTGGGACCTCCCCACGCTCTGTCTTCCAGTACTTGGTAGCAGCTCGAAAACTTTTCGGCCTCATTCCTCGCCCACTACCACTAAACTTTAGCAATACTCAGCGCAATGTCGATGACTTAGGTTCGTCTATGGATCTCCTCTTTTCAGATCACGAAGAAAAACTCTAAGCATTGACCTTCTCCATTGCTCTTTGTGTGATTTTGAGCCTTCTTCGGACGAGACAGATGTTACGCAACGTCCTATTGACGGTCTTTACCCGCCTGTCGGTGCTACATTCATACATACAATCGAACAAAACGTCATGTGCTTCTCTATTTATAATTTTGTACCCCTAAACAACTCAACTCATTTTCAAAACTGACCCAAAACTAAAAATTTTAATTACAATTCGGGCCCCCATCCCAGGGTAGCTCAGAGCTTTGCGGGTATAAAAAATATTGCAGATGTTATCTCTAAATATGCCAAATCACTGTGCTAAGTTGAATTTAGATCTTAGATTGCGTAACGTACAGTCAGACAAACAGACAAAAACAGAAAACTAAAAAACAGAAACATATTTACCTAAAACTTAAGCGTTTAAAAAATCGAGTCACAGTAAACTTAATCAAAAAAATTTCTATAATTTATCATTACACCACCATGTGTTGTATAAGTCTTATAAAAGATAAGATATTTTTGAAGATTTTATTTGACCTCAGTACGTAATGTCAGATTCGCCATCACGTATAACTGACTAGGGATGCGTGGTGGCAATATTAACAATTGGAACAATTTATCGATAATCGATTCTTATAGCTTTGGCTGAAATATTTACCGAAGGTTCACTATTATGATTATGAATTTGCTTCTGTCCACGTCTTCACTCGTACGGTAGAGGGACTGAATCAACATAATTAGAAATGATTTAAAATATTTTTGACTCTCTTTAAACGATTTTAAATACACTAAAGAAATAGAATATAGTTACGTTATTTTCCACTACACAGTGTGATGAGAAAAATACATTGTCATTGATAACGGCACATAAATAGACATACATCGATATTTTTAAATTGTCGATACGTCGTCGTTTAGTACATATCTCTTAATCTGTGGTTTAGATCCTGTCAAGTTCCGGACTCACCACGTTTGTTATTTTATTTTTGTTTAATTTAGTGTTAAACTCGAATAGATGTTATGCTTTTATTTTTTTTTATTTCATATACTGTAATAATAATGAAAATAATATTTTCGGCTATCTGACACACAACGCCATCTAGTTTCAAACAAAACATTAACAATATGTTAGTACTTAACCTCGAAACATTTAAAATCCAATATCTTTTTTCCTAGACTTCTTTCGCAAGTAATTTTGATATGAGAATGGTCAAGAATAAATTCTCAAGTGTTAAGGATTTTTTGATATTTAAACGCTAACATTTCAGTTCAAATAAAATTATGTATGGGGACCTGTCCATGGGGGCCATTGTCCTTTCTTTTTGTTTTTTGTTTTTGTTCTAAGGTTTTGTTCTGAGTTAAAATATCTAAAAAACTTCAATGTAAAACACACTTTTTTACTCTTTTATTATATCTATACATGTGTATGTATGTAGTCCAATTATTCGGAACACGTGTTAATTTCAATATATATATAGATTTATATTATATATATATATATGTATATATATCATCATCAGCCTATCGCAGTCCACTGCTGGACATAGGCCTCTCCCATTGAACATATATATATTTATAAATAATGGTTTGAAATTCTATATAATATATAATTCATATAATAATAATAATAATAAATATATTAATATAATAATTAATTTAATTTATATATTTATATAATATTCTATATAATTAGAGAGGGATCTCTCTCTCTCTATATATATATATATATATATATATATATATATATATATATTTATAAATAATAGTTTGAAATTTACACCTGCACACACAGCTCTGCGTCCGCCTTATGCATTACATTATGCTGAAAGTGTATATAAATAAATAAATAAGAAATAAGAAAAATATAGTTAACAAATGAAAGACGAACTCAATCGACTTGTATTGACAATATTAATTTCTAAGTAAATTTTATGAATATCAACCTTTTGTGGTACGAAACGTTCTTAAAGCGTTGTAGGTTAGCGCTCCTATTTCAAAAATTATTATATTTGGGTAGAATGTGTAAAAAAACTTTAAAGTTAAATTTAGTAAGCCAAAGCTATTTTGGCTCATTAATCAATGGTTTTTTCCTAACCTCTCATAACAATATAACTGTATAAATTGTTTACCATTTACTAGTTTTATATCAACAAATATTTGGTTTCTGTAGTTAAACAATAAACTTATATACACGCATATAGCAACTATAGTGGCGTATCACCTGCAGGATAACATTATCTCGTTTCGAACAAAAATATTCCCTCTCATAAAAAAGTGCATAAATTCTATTTTAACCCTCTCCCTCTACAAATGTTGGCTTGGTTATAGAAAATGTATTGTTATGCAGACAGAAAAATGTAACCAGCTATGTTTCCATTTGACTTTTTGTTGTTCAGTTTCCGAATTTCGAAAATGCATCTGAAGTAAAAGGGGAGTAGGGAAATCTAAAAACATATATATCTGCCATTGTTGCCTGTGATTTATTCTTATAGGTAAAATGCAATTTAAAGAAAAAGTTCCCGCAAAACACTTAAACATTTGGAAATAATTTTCACGTGTTGACCCTTCCGTGTTATAGTTTTACTATAGTTGCACTATTGTACACAGTTTGGCGGCTTACTTATCTTTTCTAAAATTTACCGTACAGACAGTAAGTTTACTTTTAAAGCCCTTGTAACAGTATAATTTAGTCTATTTATGTATATTTTTCAGACAATGGAATAATAATATAATACAAGCTGTTTTGTTTAAATCTCAGACAGACACTTTATATCAGAATACCGTAAATTATAATACATTAACATATTCCGCTATGGTGGAAAATTGTGCGAAAATCAAGCAAATAACGCCTCGTTCATCACAAAACCAGTTAACTGTGAAGGACCCGTTATGTTAAGTACATTTACTAGATAGTATAATATGTAGATGACAGTAGCTGGATTATGCCAATCCCATTTAGGTACGATACTGTTTTATTCATGTTTCTGTACATTGTATAAAAAAGTTGTTAGCTGCCCATGTTGTTGTAACTTTAACAAATTAGTACACGCTTCGCCTTCTGTATGGACATACTCGCATTTTAATTTGATAGTTAATTTTATGTCTCCATAAAAGTGTAAGTTTGTAGATAGATCGTGAATTTATAACAAATTGCGGTGTGAATAGCTTGACTGGAACGCATATTTTATATTTATCTTTATTCAATATAATCTGTTTTATAAAAACCTCCAGTGACCTTATGTAGACAAGAAAGCAATTATCTAGTACCGTATAACCGACTAAAAGCTTGCGGTGTTTCCAACGCCAGCCTTATCGACCAACTGGACTATTGTACGATTTCCCGGCAGATCCGATTTAATAGTTCAAGACATCCAAAACCCCATCGACTTGAAAAAGAGCGTACCGTGATTTTATCTCTCGAGGAAGTGAGATAGTCGAATACTAAGTTTGTCAGACTGTGTCCATTATCCTTAGACAATTACACTAATCTGAACAGTATTTTCTTATCATATGATTTATACCCATGTATTGATTATCGAAACAAAAGTTGTAAGGAAGGCATATTAATAAATTGTGTAATCATGCAAGGCAGCTGGCTGTTGTAATCGACAGTTTTGTTTGTGTACAGGAGCGGCTGTTGCTGTCGGTGCTACCTCAACATGTAGCAATGGAGATGAAAAATGACATTATTTCGCCGGTTGAGGGACAATTCCACAAAATTTACATCCAGAAGCATGAACAAGTCAGGTATGATCCCATCATTAAGTAGAATATTTTTTTTAACATTGCCATAAAAACCATACTATATGACTAAGTAGGTTGAACCCCCCAATTTACTGCCAGTATGTCATCTTGAACGCGACACGGCTTTGGACTACCTCCAAATTGATCTCGACATCAAGTCTAGCGATTTATATCTCTCTACCGGTTGTATATTGTCTATACACGGTTCAAGTTTTAACATTAACGTAAAATAACGATGTTTCTTAACTTACAGACATACTATGCAAAATTTGCATCGCAGGATAAAGTGGGCAACTAGAGATTGTTTTTATTGAAAAGTATACCTATGTTCTTTATCTTAAATGATATGTTCTTCAGTAGAGCTGGCTAAAGGAAATCGTATTAAAAAGTAGGTTTAAGAGTTGTTCAAAATAATCAAGAATAAAAGCGGAGCGGAGAGATATTCATTGGTGTCTTATACACGTATGTGAAACATTAATGGAGTAATACGAAAAAAATCTAGTGCTCTAGGCTTTATTCCATTAATTTAAAATAATGATTTGATTTAAAATGTTATGTATACTAAAACTTATTAGTATAAGCCTAGAAAAGAGTACTCTCCTTGAAAAGAACCTGTCCGTAAAAATCTTTTTTGATCTTTGCGGGCCCTGGGAATGTTCTCGTTAACATTAATGTATTCCGCCATCTTAGGGTTAACTCGTATTCAAATTGAATTATACTTATAAAGTGTCTAAGACTTAGGTGCTAGAGTGAGGTGAGGTGCTCATTTCCACTGCCATAATTGTATGGTAATAAATAAATAATAATAACTACACATTCACACATCTCACATACGGCATTTTGATCCCAAACTAACTATGCAGAGTCGTGTTATTTTCACCAAAGCGCATGCTGATGAACATACTTAAATATTTCTAAATACATATTATAGATAGATAAATTACACCTAGACATAGAATAAATGTCCGTGCTTCACAAACAATTATTTGTCCTGGGTGGGGATCGAACCCACAACCTCCGGCTTAGCAGTCAGGGTCACTAAGCACTAGACAAACAGGCCCGTCGATAATTACATAAAGGTTTTGTAATATAGTTTCGTTATTATCTGACAACGTCCCCGTCGAGTAGGTAGTCGTTACTAATTGTTAAGAATTAGCCAGCTATCGAGCGTCGCCGGGGTAAGCGGTCCGCGCATTAAGATTAACGGCCTTATCGCACACTAATTACTTACACTCACGTTTATTACCACGGAACGGCCAAAGACTCACGGTATGTTTGGCTCATGTTAATGTTTACAAACATTTGTTTGTGTCCTAATACGATTTCCTTTATCATTTAATTACAAACAATTATCTGTTATTTTCCTTGAGTAAGGTGTCGTTAGAACTTAGTTATTTATGAGGCGATTTTGAAATATATTTTTACAAAGGACATAATTCCATTCCTAAGAGAATGCAGAATATAATTTATTTCAATTTATCACGACACAGACGCATTGAAGCCTAAGATAGTTTTTAAGTTAATAAGTAATTATTACTAGAGATTGCTTGTAGAAGTTTTTGATTATTAAACTACGTCTAATTTAGCTTTGTTTTTTTATAACAAATTAGTATAGTAACAAGCTCTGAGCGGAAGCGAGACCGAAAAATGTGTAACACGACTTTTTGCCGACACCTTTTGCTATACTCGTAGTTACTGCCGCGAATGAACTAAATATATCGCCACGCGCCGAAAGACTCGATTAACTTAATTGTCGCAGATCAGTCCGTGTTTAGTTTATCATTATTTATTGAATACATATAAATAAATTTTGTCACAAATTTTTCTATTTAACTCTACTAATTATTAGTAACTAACTAATTATTAACTTGATTTTTTATAATATAAATTACAATGACTGTAAAGCGCAAGAAACTTCTTTCCGACCAGGGGTCCATAGGTGCCGTTTTTTTATTATTATTTTTACACATATTATTATATTATTTTTACACAACATGGACATTATATTGTATGAATTTAATATATGTTTACAATTTTATGTTGTATTTAAATCTTTTGATTTGTACATGTGAGAACTCTGTAATCAATTACATATTATGGTAATTTTAAATCGCGCCTTTTATGAAATCACTCCCGCAGAGTACAGGAGAGCCAGAGGAAAGATTTTACTAGTCAAGAAACAAAGTGTCTTGCAGCATGAAATTTAATTTCTACGTAGCATTAAAGGAAATTTCCTATTAAGAGCCAATAGCTTTAGCTTCCTGTAGATTCTAGTTATGACATTACGTAGAAAGATAAATTATTTAATATTATTTCTACAATAACTTTGGTAGTTCTTGTCTAAGACCAGTACCGGTCTCGAACCTATATCTATATCGATATAATATATATCGATATTTAATTCAAAATAGGTACTAATATTCTTTTTTTCTTTGTCCCATGTTGTTACAGAGAGTTAGCAATGCAGACACTGTCAGTTCATCAGTCTGTGGTTGGCCCACCGATCATGTTTCATGTTTCTATTCATTTATTCGGTCGCCAGTGATTAGTATTGTTTATATTTTTTAAATGTCAAAAAGGCATTTTTATGTAAAATGTGCTCAAGATTTACTGATTGTAACTTAGTGATTAATTCCATTAACACATTTTATTTCTAAGTCCGTGTTTTATGTATTAAATATTTATAGGGCAGACGAGATAAAAGTGTCGGAAAATTCTCTTAGGCAACAATACAACATACATGGATCACACTGCCAAGAAAGTTACAATACATAATGAATGCTCGGTAGCTGATTACCTCACAACTGTAGAACTAAAAAAGTTCCAGTTACTAGAATTATATAACTACATAAAGGCACACTGTTGACTACCTAATTGACTGACACTTATATGGCTTTTGGTTTTTTTTTTTATGGTATAAGGTGCGAGTCTATATGCCAAATGTCCTACTAAGTATATTCTGTGTCGCGGGGGACACGTACAGGAAACGAGCACAAAGAACACCCAGACCCGGAGCAAGAATTAGTTGATCACACAAAGTGTTTTCTCATGTGGGTATCGAACTTATCACACTCAGTGCAGTAGGAAGCGGCGAGGTGACAGCTTAAACCTACTACGCTATCCGTGCGTCCAATTCTGTTGAGCGCTCATGATTTTACTATTAATAGTCACTAATCTATTGAATCTATTATTAATAATTAGTAATGGTCTACATACAAGAAATCAACAAGAGGTCGGTCAACACTGTCGGTTATTTACACAGAAACTTCCTAGCTACGTTACTCGTTGATAGCGGCTGTGCGTAGGCGTTTGGAATAATCGCCAAGTATTCATCATAAATCAAAGATACCATGTGTAATGTATAATAGATATATGTATGTGCTTAACAACATAATCTAAAAATGTGGTCAAAACCAAAGATTCACATATGGCACTAGTAAAAGATTTTGCTTAAGGAGTTTCTTTATCCCTTAATGGAATTCGTCTGCTCTGTAATGAAATCCCATCATACATGTATACATAAGCTTGTGGGCTTTTTTTTTACGGCTGGAAACCCCCTCGGGCCATCATCCGCCGCCCGGTTCGGTGGCGACGGATTGGGTCCGAGTGGAGATTGTCCCTCCGGGCCCTCTCCGCCGCCTTCTTCTTCGCAGAAGGATGCGAACGCGGTGAAAAATCTGTCACTACCGGCCATGGAGCGTATGACGGCCGGTAGCAAGAGATCCCACCGATGACTGTAATGAGGACCTGGCGCTGCGGCGCCCAAGCCGGCCAAATTGCCAGCGTGTGCTGTGAGCCGAGTCCTCACTGCAATCGCACAGGCCATCCTAGCGATCGAGTGAAGGTACTTCTTGAAGCAGCCGTATCCGGAAGGGTCCCGTGCTGCCGCCCTGCCCACTCGACGATGACCAGCTGGAGCGCCTCTACGGCGTCAAAACCAGCACGTATAGCCACCAGCCGGACAACCGACGAGCCATCGTGGCTCGCAAGCAGCCGCACGCCACTCGCGTATCACTTCAGCCTCCAAATCCCACGGGGGAGTACCGGTCAATTCGCACGCCGCCCCCGTCGAGACGGTGCGGTAACCGTTCTAACCGTCAATATCCTCTGAGGGCGCCAGAGGCGTGCCCTCTTCTGAGCGGTGGGAGCCGCCGCCCACACCGGTGCACCGTACAGTGCCATTGACCGGACAACCCCCGTACCCCCGTGTACAGCCGTCTCGTTGCGACGCTGGGTCCACCCAAATTGGGTAAAAGTCGGCCTAGGACAGATGCAGCGCCGACCAGCTTTGGAGCAAGCTGTCGGAAGTGCTCGTCGAAAAGCCCCTTCCTGTCGAGGATCAGACCCAGATACTTCATCTGGGCCTGAAGCGGTACGAGGACCGAGTTCACCACGATTGAGGCACCAGGAGGCGGACCACGACGGGGCCTAGGGAATAGGAGGGCCTCCGTCACATCCAGGGCCACCCGTAAGCCCATCGCATCAATGCGCCCGACCACCAGAGAGACTCCCCTGGTGGACAAGCGCGCCGCCTCTTGAAAGTGCTGTGACCTGTGCCCCCGGGCTGTGACCAACATATCATCGGCGTAACAAATTACACCCAGCCCAGGGAGAAAATCAACTCGAAGTTCCCAGTCGTGCCCTATGTTCCACAGGAGGGGGTCCAAGAACAGACCCCTGTGGAACACCGCCATGGGCCGACACCTCAGATTACCATCTCGATGCTCGTACACGACGGTGCGATCCTCTAAATAGTCTGCCACTAGCCGCCTTAGGTAATTGGGCACCCCATGATAGTGGAGTGCTTCCCGGAAGCATCTGAATGGCAGACTATTGAATGCGTTGGCGATGTCCAGTGACACCAAACAATTTACCCGCCTCGTTCAGCAACACGATGGGCACGCAAGCCAAATGTTAGCTTAGCTATGGTTAGACTCGAGAAATATTGCGGGAACGATATAAGTGTTATTCCAGTATAACCAATGTTCCATCTATGGTAAATT